AGAGAGAGAGACAGACAGACAGACATATAGACAAACACAGAGAGAGAGTGTTACATGCTGCGCCTGCGCATGAGGGCCATTTTCCAGGCCCTGCGTCCCTCAGGCTGAAAGCCTGAAAACCAGGGCCTACAGGCCCCATGTCTGTTCAGCTCGAATGCCTGAAAAACAGGGGCCTACAGACCCTGTGTCGTTTCAGACTAAAAATGGCAGTAGCCTTCTTAGCCTGAAACGAAGGGCCATTTTCAGTCTTTCATCAGACCGACCTGCCCTGAAAGTCAGGCACCAAACCAGGGTCTTAGGAGCAAGCTATTTTTGGCCTGATCCCACAACAGCTGCAGCGTCAGACCCTGGCTCAGTTTGGCAAGAGCAGCCTCCTGGACTGCCCGCCCTGCAACTGCAGGCAGTCGGAGGCAGTCAGGAGGCAGGCCAAGGTAGTACATAGGGACTTCCCATGCACTTCACGGGCAGGCAGAAGGCAGTCAGTAGTCTTCAGGATTCGGCAGCAGCACTCTGGAGGAGCGCTGCAGGAGTAGTAGCAGCGTTAGCAGTAGTCTTCAGCACTGGGCGCTAGTAGCGTTAGCTGTAGTCTTCAGCGCTGGGCGCCATAGCAGCTAGACTAGTAATAGAGAGAGAGAGATTGGGCGGGCGCCAGAGGGACTTACCTGCAGCACCATTGCTCCAGCTTCGTCTTCGGGGTACCTGCAGCAAAGCGCCATCTTCACAGGTTAGTACCTGGCACATGAAAGAGAGAGTTCTTCTTCTTCCTCTTCTCAGTCCACCATCTCCCTCTCACCCTCTCGCTACCAGACTTCACTGCATCAGCAGACTACAAGAGAAAGAGAGAGCTTGGTGACATTTTGGATCCAGACTCGACATTTGGGCTTCAGACAGTTTGACGAGGGATTATTTGGGACTTGTGACAAAGACTTGGTGGTGACGACATTCCCATCTCTCCCCCTCTTCTTCGTCTGTTCCCCTCCTCTTCGTCTGTGCATGATCAGGGCCTTGCGCTCTTCTTCCTGTGTATAGCGCCAGGTCTCTTCACACCTTGTGATGAGAATGATGTATGCTTAGTCTGCGTTGCAACATTGAATGGGCTAGTCATTGATATTCTAGCATTCTGCTACGCTATCTGGCACTATGTGATTGAGGTCAGTCCCGGTCAGGTCAGGACTTGTATTTAAGTCTTCCACTGCGCTGAAAAGCACCAGTTTGTATGTATCGGAATGCACATTGCTTGTTGAGATTTCACGTGCACTGCATTGTCCATTCAGTCCTTTTCATCACATTGCGGATCCTCGGTTTATAACTTTATATGTACATTGCCCAACTGGGCATGTAACAGTTGGTATCGGAACACCGCACGTGAATCAGGACAACCTGATCTGACACGTGTACGGGGACTACGTAGGTAGCTGATTAGTCTTGATAGATTGATTAGAGCACATTAGTTAGCCCCCAAAATCACGATTTTGACCTTACAGCCGAAAATCGAAATTTTTTTCCTTTTCTTGGATTTTGTTTTCTCGCTATTTCTGTTGTGGAAAATCGCAATAGCACAACACTTGAAATTTCCGTTTTCGTTTGTCTTCTGAAAATTCAAAATTTTGCTGTTGAAAATCTGGAATATCTTTCTTCGAAAATTTCGATTTCCTTTTGCAATTCCCGTTATTTAGAAGTTCGGAATATTGCTTTCCAAAATTCGTTTTCCCTGCAGTTATCATTTTCCAAACTGCGCATCTGAGTAATTCCGAATATTTTGCTGTATTTGTTTTTCGGGATTCTTTTTTTTTTTCTATAATCATTTGCAGTCTGAAAGTTCGAGATTTTATCTCATTGGTAATTTCGAACTTCAAGGGAGGTTGGGAGACCTACTGAACTTGCAAAACTCGGGATTTTTATTTTTCTCGAAATTTTTTTGCAAAGTTCAAACTTTTCTTTTTTTGATTAGTGGCTCCTTATCTGGGCGATTTTTCGCACCCACCCTCCCCACCTACGTTGTCTGGTCTAACTCTTCTTCTTAATCTGAGTCCGGGTACCCCTACTGCGGCATTAGTAAGTGACGCGTCAGCAACTGAGCAGTGCCATGTCAGCAGTGACACGTCAGCAGCCGAGCAGTGCCACGTCAGCAGGGGGTGCCGCGTCAGCAGCTCTCCGGTCTGGTCTATGCTTACGCGCTCACAAACAGCCGCCATGGATCAGAAGCCCGGGGAAACGGCCGCGGACTATCAAACCCGGATGCTGGCTTGGAGTACCGAAGCCAAGCAAAGGGCGGATGCAGCAGCAGCCGCAGAGCAGAAGACGGCAGAGGAAGCCGAACAGGTACGTCTGTTGGCAATTGAACAGCAGCGGCTGCAAGCTGAGGCAGCAGCAAAGGCTGCCGATGAAGAAAGAAATCAGTGACGCGAGAAGATCTTCAAGAGAGAGCGAGCATTGCTCACAATGGCAGCGGACTGGCGAACCGAGGCTGAGAATGGGAAGATGGAGGAGAGTGAAAGCAAGATCGCTCTCCTCCTCTCCCATATCATGGATCTCCTGGCAACGTGCATTGCACAACAGGAGGACATTCATAGCCTCAACGCCGAGGTCAAGTGCGTCAACAACCGTTTACAGCAGTTGGAGCACCGACCCGTCGCCGCCCCCGTTGCCAGCGCCTCCAATACTTCTGATCACCTCAATGCATTGGAGATTGATGTCGGTACACTCAAGGACGGTGTGCAGTAACAGCACACCGCCACTCAGCAATTGGAGCAGCGGATCTGTGCTGCCGCTGCCAGCCCGAATTCGGGACAGCGTGAGTCCACTCCAAAGTTCGATGGTCAGGAGATCTTCTGCGATTCAACAAAGACGGACCCGATTCAGTGGTTCCGCAAGTTTGAACTCACGTTGCAGCTGCATCTCATCAGCGAATACAAGAGCCACGTGTACTTATACTCGCGGTCGGGGGGCGCATGCCAAGCATGGCTGGACAATCTCTTGTCCAAGTACGGGGTGGTCGCTGCAGACTTGCACACTAAGATCAACTGGGATGATCTGAAGGCAGCGTGGCATAAGCGGTTCCAAGTAGAGCCACTGAAGATCAAGGCAATGGACAAATTGTTGTACTTCGAGCAGGGCACGCTGCCGAGTGTTGATTGGATTGCCGAGTTCCAACGCTTGACATCCGTCCCAGACATTCAGATGGCTTCAAGGCCATCAAACACTACTTCATATCGAGGTCGTGTCCGGCGTTGGGCAACGCGTGTCGACGAGACCCTGACGACCACGGCGGAACTCTTTGACAAGGCCGCGCAGATCATTGTCACGAACAAGGAGGCGAAGAACCTCGTGCGTTCATCTGCAGCAGGCCCGGGCAGAGACCAGCATCGGCCGAAAGTGGCCGTGGTCGCGGCGGCAATGCCACCCGACCAATCTTTCAGCGAGGCCGTGTCTGCCAATGAAGGGGACAGACTCGCAGCCGCCCGGGATGGTGGCCACGCCGGCAGAGGCCGAGGACGCGGCAAACCGAAGACAAACACCACATTGATCCCCGGGCCCGGCGCAGCAGCTTCAGCCCCATGGATCCACTTTGGCCTTTTGGAGCTAGCATACAAGCAACGCATGAAATACCGCTATTGTCTGTGGTGTAACAATGATCTCTACGAGACAGTGGGCTTCCCGTCCAAGGGCAAAGGCCGATCGGGAAACTGAGCACCGCCGAGAGTGATTCGACGACACTCTCAATGTCTTCGGAACCGATCTCTTCGCGAGTGACCGGCCTTCATTCCGAGGCACATGCGGAAGTCGATGGTCCTCCTCTCCTATATTCTTTTGAGGACTATGGTGCCTGGCTCGTTCCTACGCTAGGTACTTTTGCTCAAGGACAAAAAATGTGTGCGACATCTTCTCCGTCCGGCAGCGGTTCCTTATCGTCTTCAGGTGGTTCTTCACGGGATTTGGTGCGCGAGTTCAACATAGAGGTATTGGACCCGCTCACGTCTGAGGATTTTGCATGGCTTCCTCTCCTGACCACGGGTCACTTGCCGGGACCGCAATGTGCAGCACTCCGCGCTCATCTTCACAAGTATTTGTCCTTCGATGCACCACCAACTTCGTCGACGGATGATGGAGTTGCGGTGGGGGACATATTGGCGTATGTTACCAAGGTGGCCCGCGAATTTCGCATGCAACGGTACAATGACAACAACGCACCGCTCATGTATGTCTGCATCCAGGTTGGGCAAGCATCCTGCAGCGCTTTGCTGGATAGCGGCGCGTCTCGCAATTTCATGAGCCAAGCCTTTATGCAAAGGGTTGGCCTTGGCGCACAAGTTCGGAGGAAGGCAAACCCGACGGCGATCAAGTTGGCGGATGGAAAGACGCAGCAACTTCTCGACTGTTACATCGAGGCCGTACCGGTGTATTTCGCACCTCATGCATGCGAACCAGTGACGTTCGACATTTTGGACATAGACTTCGACATTATTTTGGGAATGCCTTGGCTTGCAAGTGCGGATCAGACGGTCAACTTCCACCGCCGGACTCTTACCGTTCGGAACGCTTTCGGCGCCGAAGTACCGTGTACTATTCCTCTTCCGCACCCTTCGATCCGGTGCCAAGTGGTGACGGCCAAATCATTCCGGGCGACTTGCACTTACGAGCAGCCCGAGGAGATCAGCCTATGTTTCCTACGGACCGTCGCGGTAGCCGACTCTTCATCCACGGACTTGTCGTCGGACCCCCGTGTGGTGCGGTTGCTGGACGAGTTCGCCGACATCTTCGAGTCACCTACCGATGTGGTGCCGGATCAGCCGATCTCTCACAAGATCATTCTTGAGGCCGGTGTCATGCCGCCGAAAGGATGCATCTATCGTATGAGCGAGGAGGAGTTTGAGATCCTCCGGGCAGAACTCGACGACTTGTTGGCCAAGGGTTGGATCCACCCTGGTAGATCCTCATGTGGAGCACCAATTCTCTTCGTCCGGAAGAAGAACAAGGATCTACGTCTGTACATCGATTATCGCAAGCTCAACGCGCAAACTGTCAAGAATGCGGGGCCTCTTCCTCGTATCGACGATCTTCTCGAGCGATTGGGCGGTGCCAAGTACTTTTCGAAGTTGGACTTGAAGTCGGGGTATCATCAGATTTCGATACACACGAATGATTGCTACAAATCCACGTTCAAGACGCGTTGTCGGGACTGGTGAGTCCCGAATGGTTTCCCGTCACTCGAGAGACGGTATATGACCAATTTGTGCACGGCAGAGAAAACCGGAGGCAGGATTGCTGGAAAGATCGGAAACGTGGGCACAGACAGTAGGAAGCTAAAGGCTGCCCAGAGTCGTCAGGATCGCCAAACTAGAAAGGGACTGCCTAGGCAGGAAGCGGCAAAGGACTGTGAGAGAATAGCAAGGGCAACTCTTTCCCCAAGGACGGAGAAGGGCCGCCGGGAAGTTGGTAGTAGCATAGGAGGTGCGCAGCAAGGGAAGGAAGGAAGTAGGAAGGGACAGGGCGCAAGGCGCTGACGTGACATGGCGGTAAGAGGGCCAAGGAGGCCGCCGACTGGATGAGAGCCGGCACCCGGAAACGGAACAGCGTGCGGGACGCAAGAGGAACGAGGAGCGGAGATCGTCGTAAGGCGGGAGGACGTCAGGAGCACCAAGGAAAGACGTGGTACAAAAAGGGCAGGAGTGTCGGGGACCACGTGGGACAAAGGGACGACGTGGTGCCGGGAGGGCGAAGTACCGGGAACCGCGTGAGACCAAGGGAAAAGACGCAGGGCAGGCGGGCCGAAGTGCCAGGGACCGCGTGGGCCTAGATAAAATGGCGGCACCAGCGGAACCGCTAGCAGGACGGGTATCGAYGGTATGAAGTGTCGGGAGCCGCYGACGGGGGCTGAAGGTCGGAGTCGTCGGCGGAATAATCGGCGACCAGCGCAAGGAGGAGGGCGCGCGAGAGCGAGTCGTCACCYGGGATGACGCCGGAAAAAGGGGAGGGGCTAGGAACAATACGAAAAAGAGGAGAAGTCGGGCGCTGACGGAAATTGTCGACAGAACGGAGGAGACAAGCGTGAGACGGGAAAGACGGAGGGCACCTRSGGCGACCCARGGGGACCCTGGATCAAGCGCAACAATGATAAAAATAAGATGTCATAGTGTGAGGTGGASGGGACCGTCCGGGCCAGGTGTCCGGATRAAAATACTAAGTACCGCCGCGGCAACGYCGGCAAGAGGTGCCGAGGGCAAAAACAAGGGGGAATAGTGGTAATGAGGAGGCCGGCCAGCAGTCCGGGTTATTCCGGAACAGCCAGGCCAAGAAAAACGAAGTTCCGAGGGCTCCGCGTAGAGAAAAGGTTGGCCGGAGAAAATCGGAGCAAGGGGGGTCTCAAACTGGAAGTGGCCGCAGCAAAAAGGAGGCCCCTTCGGCCTTGGGGGTGCCACTACTACAGTCCGAGGTGTAACGCCCATATGTCGGCTGCAAAAACAGGCCTTGGGAAAGGTCTAACAGCTAGAAAGAGGAGGAATAGTTGTTGGACACTTGTCCCAACAGTAATAAAAGAGAAAGGAGAGAGAAAAGGGGAGGATGAGACAAAGGAGGAGGAAAGGGTGGAGAAAAATGTGCCGCCAGGTTGGGACTACAGCGGTAGGGACTGGCAGGTCTCAATGATGAACTCATCCCTCCTAGATCCTAGGAGGGCAGTCCGGATTGCAAAGATAAGGTCCTTAGGGCATTATCTCTGCAATATCTGAATTTAAGAAGCAAAAATAAAGAAAAATGCTGGTGTGAGTTGGCCGGCTCATTTTTGGGCCCTAGATCTGGAATCTGATCTTGCGGAGGAGGAGATCTAGCCGTTTTTTTGTGGGCTGACACAAAACGGCTATCTCCGGAATGAGTTGGCAGCAAGATGGAGGGAAAACAAAGAGAGGAACAAGACAAAACTGCGTATTTGGCCCAAGGATTGAGCCAGATACACCAAAAAAATTGAAAATTGAAGTAAAAGGCTCAAATTTGGGCCAAGGGGAGCTTGGGGGTAGCTCGAAATGATGAGAACCATCTATCCCAGCCAAATCCAGGGCTGAGATTGGAGTCGCCACTTGGAAAAATGCAACGGCCTATCCAAAAGAGGCCTAGACCAGGAAAAAGACGAAAAATGGGCCTCTAGGCCCTCAAATTTTAGTAAAGGCTACATTTTGGGAAGTGGTACCCCAAAAGGCAGCTCTTTTTGAAGTAAAGAGAGGCCGGGGTAGGCCAAGGGGTAGTCCGAGAGGGTACCAGCCACTCGGACTGCATGCACTTTACCAAAATGAGGCCCAGGTACCTCCAGATAGGCCAAAACCGGAAATTTGGCCTTGGGGGTACCTCGCTCCACCTMGAGGCACTTGGGGAGGCCTAGGGGTTGGGCGGTGCACCAGTTCCAGCCTATATAAGCTGAGAATGCAGACCGCCACTCTCATTTGAGCATGAGAGGAGCCCATGCTGCCTAAATAAGTCCATGAGAGAGTCCTAGTGGAATAGAGCAAGGGAGGAGGAGCCGGAGCTAGCCCTGAGCCTGGCTATGGTGATAGGGCTGAGGGAGAAGGTCTGGAGGCTAGAAAGAAGCAAGGGAAGTGATCCGCCATAGCCCTCAGGCTGTGAGGTAGGAAAAGAGGCTGAAAGGGGTCCCCTTAGCCCTTCTAGAGGGAATGTTACATGCTGAGCCTGACACACGGGCCCATTTTCGGGCCCGACGGTTGTTGAGGGCCCCTAGGCCGCCCGCCTGTTCCAAGCACGCGACCTGGAGGCCCACGGCCATTGGACAGGCCGTAGGTACAGATTTGAGGCAGCAGTCATTCATTCATTTATTTATTTATTTATTTACTTATGTGTGCTGCTGTTTGCCTGTTCTATTTTTGTCTGTTTCAGGTGACGTTTCGGACTTGCAGTTCGTCCGAACAGATCTACGATCTGTTCGGACCAAGGCCACGTTTTTTACCTCCTCCATTCGTGGCCAGGCCCTTTTAGGCCAGGTTCGCTTTTGTCTGGTAGCAGACACTCCCTGCTGCATCAGCACGGAAGGCCTGGACGTCCGATAGGGACCCAGGCAGGCCGTTTTTAGGCCAGACC